CCCTAACCCTAACCCTAACCCTAACCCTTACCTTTATGTGAATCGGCTCGCTTTTTTAAGCGCCCTTTTTTCTCTGCGGTCGTATTTGTCGCGCTGCTGATGACGTCACGTACGCGCTTTAATCGGGCGCGCTTTAGTGGACCGCGGTTTTGACGGGTCACGCTTTCGATAGTCTAGCCTGTTGTGAATAATGTGTCAGGGGACTCACTATTCTCTTTTTCTCCAGGAATCAAAAATCTAATAGAAGACAAGGTCTATACTAGGGAAAAAATCTCAGTAAAGGATAATGTGCCTTAGGGCTAAGGTTATCTGGATTAGCCAAAGACCAGCTTGGTAGATGGGCAAACCAGAAAATCTTTTAATGTGTGGACTAATTTACCTCTTGTCTACCCAATTGAGAAAAAATGTCTCCATATTTCTGAATTCTTGCCATATGAAGACAACGGATACTGATATAATTACTTACTGTGTAAATAAGGCGAAAATGTCTAAGAAAAAAAATTGTCCCATGGATAGCCTCCAAAACTCAAAGAAACAAAGAAAGAAACAAGAGGGCATCTTTTTTTAAAATTCCTCATTAGAATAGGAAGATGAGCCAAACTCTAAGGAGAACTGAAATAAGATTTTGCCTAAGCTGCCAAAATGTCTACAGCCAATCCTGCATGAAATATTATGAATGCAATGATACTAAAAATGAGAAATTCTTCAGAAAGAAAAGCTTGTCTAGAAAAATGAATTGTTACCACTGCCTGAGATGTGCTTTTAGGGAGCAAGCTTGCTCTCTTTGCCAGCTGCCTAACACTGCCTTATTCGGCAAAAGTTGGCATTTTACTACTAATACTAATTTATTGATTAGCCATTAGGCCAGATCTGAATCCCCTAAGTGTTTCAGTTCTTTTCGATGCCATAGCTCCAGCTGAGCTCATGAAGTGCATTGGGATGTTGTTCTTTGTACTATCCCTGGGGTCATCTCCAATCCACGCAGGCCCCTGGAAACATGATCGCTTTAGTCTTGTAATTGTTTGTTATTGCTCAGAACAGCCATAGCAACTCTATCTACTGACATTATAGGAAAATAAATGAGTCTTTTCTAAACAATTCCTTTACAGGTAAGATTCAGCAAGATGGGAAAAAAGTTGAATCTTGTAAGCCCATTCTTAAAACAGAATACAAGACCTGTAAAAACAGGTAGGTGCTCTTCTTGATCACACTAAGGAGGCAGCTATGATCCTGAGACAGGGCCTTGTATCTGTTGAAATGAGGCCACTTATGTGATTAGGTTCACTTTTTTCTGCCCCTTCAACTGTGAACATGTATGGCACTGTTAATCAATGTGACCGTTTCTGCGTGTACAGGATCTGTAAGAAAAACTGAAACCAGAAAAATGGTTTTGGTTCCTTTTAAGTGTTTTAGGGAAGGATATAGAGACTGACTTCATACATTGCAATCAGGTGTAATTTATTTATCCTTTGTTTATTGAATAAGCTGTATATTATTGATATTAGTGAGGGGGGGGGAGGTACTATTTAAAGGAACTTTCTTGCCGTCAGCAAGTGAGCGATGCATTTGTGATGCATGAGTTCAGTATATACATTAGTGATCATCTGTACCACAAGAGAGCCCACCTCCTTCAGCATTTGCCATTACTTCTGGATTGGACAAGCAACTTAAGTGTTACTGCTTTGGTTGGCCAAAGCTACAGAAACAGTGAAAGCTGCACAAATATTTACTTTAAACATCACAGATATAAGAGAGAAATGTGATGATCTCATGAGTTTTAGAAAGATCACTTACAGTAGAAAGATTATTAATTTTAATTACAATTTGGATGTAATCTCTTCATCTTAACGTGCAAAAATTGCTATTTCAAAGTCAATGAAAAAGTGTGAACTATAATTATTACTATTTTATTTTTAAATATAGTGATCCTTTTATCATTTTTTCTGGTGGACTTTCTTATGATAAACCTTGGCGAAGGCCAGGTCTGACAATCATGCATGGAAAAGCGATTACAGTGCTTGAAATGGATCACCCTGTGGTTGACTTTTTAACTCTTTGTGAAACTCCATACCCAAATGGTAAGTATGTGTAATAAATTTAAATAATAAATAACACAACAAACGAAGAATAGTAACTACATTGCATGACATTGCCATGAAAAATTCCATAATCCTTTTATTAGGCCAACTGAAATTTTGTCACAGTTTCAAACTTATTTTTTAAACTCTTCATGAGATGTTTAAAAGCCAGGAAAGAAAACAGTGAAGCAAGAAGGAGCTGATTAAGGGTTATAAAAAATGGAAAAGCTGGCAATAATTATAAAAATTCAGTTGAGCCAATTAAGGTACTGGCTCTGTGTATTTTTTTAATATTATAAGTAGTCCATGACTTACAACAATTCATTTAGTGACCGTTCAAAGTTACAACTTTGACCGTTCAAAGTTACAACTTTGATAGTTGCAGTGTCCCAAGATCATGTGATCACCTTTTGCGACTTTCTTAGAAGTCAATGGGGAAGCCAGATTCAACCATGTTACTAACTTAGTAACTGCAGTGATTCACTTAGCAACTGTGGCAAGAAAAGTTGTAAAATGGGGCAAAATTCAATTAAATGTTTCACTTAGCAACATAAATTTGGGCTCAATTGTGGTTGTAATTCGAGGACTACCTGTATTAGGTATTTTGAAACAAAAACTGAGAAGAATTAATTTAAAATAGAGGAAAGAAAGAAGAAAAAAAGAAAACAAAGAAAAAGCCAAAAGTGAAAAAAGAAAAGAAATAGAAAGAAGTAACTTCTAATTTTGTTTACAAGTTCAAATATAAAATTACATACTTTTTGGTTACAAAAACCCTCTTTTGTTATCCGTTTTTTTCTAATCATAACATAAATCATAAATTCGTTTTTTCATCCAAAAAGTCTATAAGGAATTTCCAATCAACAACAAATATAGATGTTGTCTTTTCTCTAATTAAGCCATCTCTGCAAATTTCATCATCTTCACCTACCATTCCTCCATTGTGCCAGATTTTCCATGTTTCTGCATATGATAATGTTGCTACAGTTATCATAAATAAAAACAAAGTTCTATGACTTTTTCCCAACTATTTATCCATTTATCCATCAGTCCAAAAAGAAAAACCTTAATTTCTGTGGATTTGATTTACTGCAATTTTAAGAACTAATCTGACAGCAATGTGTTATCATCTGTGAAGAATTGGGACCATACATGAAGTTCACGTTAAGAAGGTTCATTGCTCAAGCCTATACACAAGAATCTAGTTAACTAACTGTCAACACTAAACTGGTGCTAGATGAGCGTTAATAAAATTTAAAGTGGGGTGGACTTGGATAATATATGGGAACCAAATTGATTCCTTTCTTGACTCTGACCCAGGCTCTGCCTCTTAATCTCTACATTACCCTCCTCTCCAACCTGCCCTTCACCACTTTCATGGCTTGTTCAGAGACGCCTTTCCCTTCCTACATGGGCTCTTCAGAATCTGAGTTCTCATGGGAACTTGACAGAGGAGGCAGTGAAACAATTTCTAAGGAATCTTCCTCCCTTGTGGCTGGAAAATATGAAAAGCATAGTAGGTCCTTCCCCCTTTACCTTCAGGACTTGAAGGCCAGAATTGAGAGGCCCAGCATAATCAAGTGCTCTGCCTGCCTCTGGATGTGCCAGGAGAGGTTGGTTAGGGCTGATTCCTCAGGTAGCACGGTGTGCTAGGACCTTGGTCAGTTGTGGCTTCTCAGGGAAATGGTGGAATTGCCAAACTAACTCAGAAGGAGAACAAATCTTTCATTCTCTCAAGAGAGTTCAGTTTCTTGGCAGTCTTTTTAGTAAATTAAATATTGCATACCTTTGCCCTTTCACTCAGAATATAGAATGCAATACAGAATAACAGAGTTGGAAGGATCTTTGAAGAAATTTCTAATTCAACCCCCTGCTCAAGCAGAAAATCCTATACTGTAGAGTCGAGTATTTCTTTTACTTCATATTCTAGTGTCTAGTTAATTTTATGGTCTTATTGAGACCAAAAACTTGATAGAGAGCCAGAATTTGTCTCCTTCAGCTATCAGCGGCCCTTCCTATCAATGGGCATCCTCAGCTTTCTCATACAACTACTTTGCCTGTTCTCGTTGCTGTTTCAATAGGGTTTGTGCAGCAATTTCTTCTTGTAAAAAAATCCACAGTTCCTGGGACAGATCTCTCCTGCTTAGAGTTCTCTGGTAAAGCTCAGACAAAGCTTGAAATAGGGTTATTATAATTGATATGTGGAGAGAGTTATTATATGAAAACTGTGCTAGTGGAAGCCGTGATGGCCAGTTGTTGTGGCCCGGCAGGAGCCATTGGGGCTGCCGCCAGAATCCGACAGCGAGGGGGCTTATGAGTCGACCTTGGAGGAGGTGGAGGACCATGGACAGGGTGTCGACTCTGAGCAGGGCGAGGAGAGACTGATTGGCCACCAGGTGCCTTGGAGCCTTGGATCAGAGGGAGTGTTCAGGGAAACACTCGTGAGTTGTTGCAGGATGCACCCCGTCCAAGGGTTACTTGACTGAAGGAACAACTGAGTACTTACAGGAGATGATTGCGAGCAGCTTTTGCTCATTGGGATCCTCTCCTGAGTATAAAGGGAACTGTTGGTGCCACACCTGGTTGCAGGAGTCAACATTCTCATTCTCGTTCACATTCACAAATCAAGAGAAACCAACTTGGAGAACTAGGTTTGCTGGAAGAAGCCTGTTTTGCAGTGCTGCGTTTGTTTATAGGACTTTTATCTCTTTGTTTATTTTGGGCTTGCAGCCAATGAGAGCTTGGACTGATTAAAATATTCTTTGGTATGTCCGTTTTGGCTTTCGTTCCTGGACGGAGAAGGGTGGGTCAGAACAGCCAGTTATCTTGGCTGTAGAGACATTTGGTTAGTCTTCATCTCACCATTCATTGCTGGTTGATGGGCTGTTTACTTGAACATTCAAAAGTTGGGACAGTGCTCTCCAAAACCAGGGTTGACATTGATTGCTCATGTTTGAAATTAGTCTATACACCATGCCTCTATGGTGAAAAATATGGTCCAAAGTTGAACTGTTTCTTTGGCAGTGGGCAATCCCTTCCAAGGGTTGAAAAGAGACATCTTGGTAAAAAGATCCACCAAAATTAGTATGTAATCATTGACGTGGGATAAATCAGTAATCCAGAGAGAGTGGGTGCCATGGGTAGGGGATGGGTGTGTGTGTGTGTAAAGATGAGTTGTAACAGCTTCAGATAGTAGGCTTTGGCCCTTCTGCAATGTGCCATGTAGCCCTTATGTCTGCTGCCATCTTAAGCTTCTTTTAATGTTCTATGCAGTGTTTTGAACACTCTCCCATGCCCCAGTGTCTGGTTATCATGGCAAAACTGCAAAACGTTTATCTCAAAGGTTGGGAACTACAATTCTTGTGTTTCAAGGTCACTCCCTCCACCATGAATGGGGATATGGTAGGAATATGTTGGTGTTTCTTGGCAGTCATCCATCCGGGCCCACAAGAACTGATCCAGAGATTGTTGAGTCTTGATTCCGGTGATTAGATTCTTGTGTGATTGAGTTGCTCTCAACATTTTGGATGATAGTGGGTCTGATTACTTACCAAAAATGGAAAGATTTTAAAATACTGGTTGCCATCAGGGGATAATAAATTTGAGAATACTCTGGTTTGCAGGGTTGTGCAGTCATGGTCATAGCAGAACAAGATAAACTGAAATAGATGATAAATCTATCATTTAACTTTTTTCAGTGTTTTTAGCATATTTCAGACTCTATTCTGTGTAAGTTGATTATCATGCCTTTTCCATAAGAATATGCAAATAGAAGATTTACACATAACATTAATTAAAAGTTAAGTGTTACTCAATATACTTCTGTACATCCCCCTCTCTCTCTGCAGTATGCTTGCTATAAATTGGAATAGTCTTTCCATAAGGGAAAAATTATGTAGAAGTATTATAATATTTAACACTGCATGTTTATTGGAACAATATTTATGCTTAATCTCCCATGAGGAGACACCAAACCTACCATCAGAATACTATCTGTGTTCCAGGAAAACATGATATAATCTATCAAAACTGAACTGCTGTGTTTGGAAAATTCTTTATTAGGATTATATATAAATTCTGTATTTGTTCAGAACAATGGTTATATGGTCCTAATTTAATAATCTAATTTACTAATATTTGTGTTTATATTTTTATTTGTATGTAGAAATTCAAGAACCCTATGCTGTTGTTGTACTATTGGAAAAAGATCTAATTGTTGTTGACCTGACTCAAAGCCAGTAAGTATAATTTCATATGGTGCTAACAATAATTCCTGGGAGAGAAGCATAGATTTGTTGTTTGGAAATATAAAGTCATATGACAAACCAAAGTCAAAATGTTTACAAAACAAACAACTTCAATATTCATTGATATTAGGATTAATATTTTAGATATCTTAGCTGTCTGTTTCTTTGTTAAACATATCCTTCCAAAATTATAGATTCTAGAAAATTATCTAATAAAGATTATAGCTTTAAAAGATCCTTCTCCATTCCCCTATTTTTCTGTATTCACTTATTTTAATCACCATGCCTTTAAAAAAAAGCTATTTCAGAATCACCTGTTTCAAAGATTCACTAATGGAATCAGTGATCAATTTGCCTAAAGCAAATACTTTGCGAAGGAAACAATCAATAATGTCTCAACTACACAGTTCATTTTCATTTCATTTTTTTTCATTTTATTAGAATTTATAGGCCGCCCTTTTCCCTGAGGGGACTCAGGGCGGCTTACAATCATAGGGAAGGGGGTGCAATGCAAAAA